GAACATTACATATCCAACGAAGAAAGAAGAAAAAAATATATGTAAATGCTACAATATTCACTCTAGTGTTCAGTTTGATAGAATTATCTTGACACCAATACTTTGCTTTATTCATTTCTTTTTATATACATATCTATTAAGAATATAACTAATATCATGACTGTATTATCATATGATATGTAAAAATTAAAATTTATAGTTAAGCAGTGGACTTAACATAAACAGTAATTATTCAATGGACTATGTTGGTGCGTGATGTTTTAGCAATATTAGGTACAAACTCCTTCATCTGCTGGAAAAAGAATAAAGATAAATATTTTACCTCAATCATATGCCTTTTTTTACATTAGAGTCTCTCTCACACATTTTGTCACTATCCACACATTATATGAACAATAATTATCCGATCCTCTCTTGAATAAATACACAAATGAAATTAATTCAAGAAAATGAAATGACAATCCTGGTGCAATGTATTTATTTTTATATGTATCTATCTATACTACCTTAAAAGCATGAACTCCATAACTTGAATGTTAAATTACTCTAATACACCACCTCAAAACACTCAATTTAGTATATATTCTATATTTAATATTATAATTTATTTACTCTATATTTTGTTAAAAGCAATCACCTTTTAACATTGATGTGTAGTGACTTTTTTCGAAGGGTTTCAACTTTTGTTTTATAGAGTTGTGACTTTTTTGATGAGTTATGACTTTTCCAGAAAGTTGTAATTGTTTGAAGGATTGCGACTTATTCTTAAAATAGACGACAAATACTTTTAATACTACTCTCAGTTTTTTAATAAATAGATTAGATTTCTCAACCTTTTATACTACGAATTTTGAATGTTTTCTATCTACTTCTTAAAATAAGGAAGATTGTGAGAGTTTTTTAATTATGCAATTTTAATTTTTTTTGGGGTAAATTAGATAGATAAAAAAAATATGTAATAAGGAGAATGACATAACTCAACTTTAAACGAGAAAGTTGTTTGTTAAGATAGCCATGATATAATCTTAGGTTATCTTGATGCGGGTGTATGGGCATGGGCGTTCTCTTCTCGAATTACTTAAGTAAGTCTTTTGATAACCTTAGTGAGGAGAATGTTATATTGTGTGTTATGTGTTTTGGTGTAATGTAAGTGTGTGTATATCATTATAGATAGTCCAAGTTATCATTTAGGTGTGCTTAGAGAGGGTGTATGGGTCGTCTCTCTATGTTTTAGTCAAGTGAGTCTTAGTATATCTTTCGGTGAGAGAGTTTCATGCTAAATTGGGTTCACTATGAAGTTGAATTTGTTCATTGTAATGTTGGATTTTTTTCACTTTAACATTAACATTGTTCACTGTAATGCTCCTTAATATATGAATAAGTGTTTATGTGTTATCTTATGTGTTTCTTAGGTGTTAAATGTGGTTCTTTATGCTTATACTATGAGGTTTATATAAAAAAGATCATATTTCCATTAAATATCTGTTATCATGATTTTTATGCATTAAGCAATACAGAGTACATGTTTTTGTACTAATTCCATATCTTTATCTATATCTAATGTGATTCAAAGGTGAAGGTGCTATTGGAAGTAAAGCTTGAATTATAGTATCTTTCAAGAAAGTTTGAAGTATGTCCTTATTTGACTCGATCGTATTGACGTCTTTAGAATTCTTTTATTAAAGCATTGTAATAGACTTAATAGTACTATACTTCAATTGTATGGGCCGCATCCCAAGTATATTTCAAGCCTATGATTTGATAACATGAGACTTTTATTTTCTTTGGTTAATATGTAAGAGATATTGAAAGACTATTCAAATGTTGTTAAAAGATCTAATTATTCACTACTTTTCATATATGTTTATGCAATGAATGGTAAGAAATGAATTGTACAAGACCTCTAAGAGGTCAAGTACGCCATGTATGGATTCGAGAATGCCCTAAATTCTAGGGGTTACTTTCGGGTTGTTACACGAGATACATCTTTGAGCAACATGCTATAGGAAGATATAGTTTTCCTTCTTTCTACTCTTGTTTCATGCCATAAAGGTTAACTCCATATGATCTCTCTTTTATTTTGCATTGTCCGGTGGTCTTATAAATGGGATTACATGGGAGGGATGATGTTGCAAGGTTTGAGGGAGAAAAAAGGGAGTTTGGTGCTTATTGTGGTTTTTTTAAATAGATGAGTAAGATGTGAATATGGATTAGGAAGTGGTATTATGGTGTATTTCTAGCATGGTAAGAGATATGATAATTCCATGAAGTCGTGTTTCGGATAATGGGTTACGTTATAGTTACGCGATATGATAGTAAGAGGTTATGGTATAAATTTGAGGATTATGTTAAGCGTTAGAACTAAAATAAAAAATGTTTAAAGGACTTTGTCTTATCTTATATACAAAAATAAGGGGACTATGCCTAGTTGTAAGGTTGGATAATAGTCTTCATGTTTATGAATATGGATTAGATGACTTTTTACCTTATAAGGGGTATAATGGCTTGAAGTATGAGACCTTGGAAATAAATCTGTAAGGATCCTAGTAGGAGTACTTATTGAGAACTAGAATTGAATCAAATATGGATGAGGATGCCGCTAAGTTATAGCTTTCTCTATTTGTTGTTGTGGGTTCTTTATCAGTGTGGGAGTACGATGACTAGTTGGGTTTAGATTGTTGTCTTATATCTTCTATTTTATTCTAGCATGAGAGTTATATTGTGATAGTAGCATGTTGCATTTTGTTTAAGGGTTTTGAGTGAAAATGAATTACATTGCTTGCATTATGTATTTTCATGAAGTTATGTTTAAGTGCTAAAATGAGCTTATATAATTTTGTCTCTCATGTTGGTATGCCTTCATCATGAATTTCATAAATGTTGCATTAGTGATTTAGTAAGCATATTCATTGTATTGTATTTGAAATTTTCACTAAAATTTGATTTCATGATAAATGGTTATAGTATGTTTAGAAATGATGTATATGAGCATGATTATGTGTAGAGAGGGAAGGTCCTCCTACATTAAATGAAAATTTAAGTCTTAATTCATGATGAGTTGTAGACAAAGTTCCTACCTTCTTGTGGTGTTGTGACTCTCCTTGTTATATGGAGTTAATGTTAATCCTATCTATGTGTATTTAATATGGTGTGGTATGGTTACGAACTGCCAGTCTTGGGTCCTTACTCTTGAAAGTGTTCAATTTGTTTGAAGTGTCATTCGAGGACTAATTTTTCCAAGATGGGGGGGGGGGGGAGTATTGTTACACCCTCAAAATAATCTAGGTTGAACTAGAGCCTAACATGTGGGTTATGAGTTTATTAAGTCTTACAATGGCCAAATATAGTGTTAGTAGGCAGGGTGTGTACATTGGAAGAGTTTGGAAGTCAAACATCAAAATCGCTCAAATGTTTTGCCTTGAAATGTGCTTGTGTTCCTTAGTATGTTTTGACATGTTTTACGTGTTCGTTTTTACATAAATTGATGTGAGAGGTTATAACATATATACCAGAGTATTTGAGGTGGAAATATCTAGACACGACTCCCCAAGGACAGCCATAAGGGTCCTTGAGATAGACCAATCCTTATGCAAGCAATGTGCCCAAGAAAAAAGGACCAACATAGGTATTGAGGGTACTAGTCCAAGTTGCAGACTGTCTCCATTAAAGGCCAAAAGTTTCTCCGCATCGGGGAGACAAAGCATACCTTAATTTTTTATAATTTAATTTCAGAAATCATGCGGGAGAAGCTCCGCGTTGCGGTCTTATTTTGCGACGATAATTCTAGAAACATAAGTTGGGTTTGACTTGGATAAAGGGTCCTATAAGTTCAGGGGTCTTTTGGGTCTTCTAGGGACTAGTTATTCATGGTTATTGAGCCTTAATAAACCCCAATTTACCCGTAAAATCAAAACCTCAAGTCCAAAACCTAACGTCTCCATTACTTTACTCTAAAACCCCTTCATTGATGAAGTTATGAAGCTCTAAGGAACAAGAAATATTTTCCCAAATTATTCTTCATCAATATTGTGGGTTTTTTTCACTATTAAGGTATGGTGCTTCATCCTTGAATCCTCTTATAGACAAGGAGCCAATTTCAATGGTTTCTAAAGATGATTAAAAAAACATGTAATCTTCTATTTTGAATTCTAGCCATGGGTTCTTGCATAAAAGGTTTTAAATAATTTTTTTTTATTAATGAAGTGATGTTAACACAATGTGTTAAGTCTGAAATCTCTATATACCCATGTAAATAATGAATATCTATTTTGGTGATGTGGGTGAATTGATGATGGTTTGATCATAATGAATTCTTATGTAAGATTATAATGGGCTATTGAAAGATGTATAGATTATGATATAATTGTATATAGGTTGCCTTACATTGATGATTTTCATAGTAGATCTTGTTCGATCAATTGTATAGTTTGATTAATAGTTTTGATTGGTGTTTATGGCTATAGGTTAGAGCCTTGTGACTTTAAGTGATTGGAATGACTAAGGATTGGAGGTGTTTAAGAAGGAATGGTGGTAGGTTCACCTAACATCTTCTATATTGTGTAGTATAGGTATATAATTGTGATTATTAGTATGGTCCACTTATGGTTGTGGTACTTATGTGTTATAACTGTTATAAACATTGCCATGTCGGCATTATTATAAGAATTGTAACTACACCATTTTAGGTCTACAAAAACACTAATTCTTGACTACATTTGTGAAGTGTTGCCGAAAGTAATTTTAGGGACACTTTTAAAACATAGCAAAAGTTTTAACTTTTAGCTACGACAATATTGGAAACCCTTCAAACTGTACTCTTTACTGGTATAAGCTACACCTTATAATTGTTTGTACAATATGATGTATATGGGAACACTTATTTATATATATGACCATACTTTCAAATTGTCCTATTTTTATAATTGAAAAAAACACTTTATAAGGGTAACTTTTAAATTTTCACAAAAATTTTATATTCCTTGAAATATTTTTAATGTCTAAAAAAAATAATTCATAAAAAATTACTAAAACTTATGTGTCCCCAAATAAGAAAATCACACTTTTCTCTGTCTCTGTTGAGCTGATGAAGACATACTTTTCCTTGATGAACTGATCGAAGAGTTGAAGCTAATGTTTGAAGAACTGATCGAATAATTGTATAGCTAAGTCTCTGTCACAAATGAATTGAAGCTAAGTATCTTTGTCATTCTTTTCTGTCAGATTTCTCGATGAAGAACTTGATTTCTCTATTATTTCACATTTAAGAGCTGGCAGCTTCTCGATGAAGAACACGAGTTTCATCATAGTTCTCACTGAAGAACACAATCTTTTTTGTATTGGGTTTATCAGGTAAGAAATTATATCTTTGAAAGTCAATTTCAGATTTAGGGCTTTAATATTCTTGTGTTTTTATATGATTTTTGGGAGTCTAGCTCGTAGTTTAGCTTCATCGGTTAATTTTTTGGTGTCTAGCTCGTATTATAGATATATCAGTTGATTCTTTGCCCTTTTTGTTCTACAAGTGAAAGTTAAATGATGTTGGTCCAACTTGTTTGCTTTATATCTGATTCAACTTGCCTTCTCCAGATTTGATTTCAACTTTAGCCATAAAATCTTATGCAACTTGCCTACTTTACTCTTTGATACCAGTTTGTGTTCCTAATTTTAAAAATTGGAAGCTAAATTGAATAGTGTAGGGTCTTGTTAGTCGAATAATAGAGATTTAACTCTAAAAATCTATAGTTTTTGAAAGCGAACAGATCGTTGTCCATGCCATAGTTTTATTTTAGAACATTGTGTCTGCAGGTTATAACATAAATTTTACATTGGGTTGGACTGATATTATAAGTCTGCATAATGTTAAGGTAATTGATATCTGATGATATTTGTTTATGATTCATTCTATGAAAGATGGATGTAATAGCTAAGTTAATCCATCCATATATCGTAGTTTATTCTCATCTACCTGGTAGTATATTCTCAGCTACCTAAGTTAAAGTTGTGTCTTTTTCTCTGCGTTTTGCTTTCATGGCTTTAATCTTGGTGACCTTTGTGGGGAAGAGATACAAACTTATATAATGTGGAACTTATAAATCACTTGTTTTGGTGACGTGGAAAGTAACCTAATCTAAAAGCCTGCCACCGTAAAGGATTACTGTGATAGATAGCAAATTTTGTAAATTTAACATATTGTACAACAAAAGTTATATAATTCAACTCTATTCTTCGTTAGTCGATATATTATATTTACATGTGTTATGCTTTATCACTGATGGCAGTCAATATATAATTTGTAAATTTACAATAGATAAGGCAAACAAGATATAGCACTGAACTATGTTCTTTGTTAGACGATATATTATATTTCCGTTCGTTATAATTTTATCAGTTAAGGTAGTCTATGTATGATTGTTAAGGCTTGTCGTTTAAAAGAGTACTGATGAATATTCCAGAAGCAGTAGGTGTTCTCTGATTTTTCACAAAACAATATGAAGAATGATTTCAAAATACTTCATTGATATTCCACTATCTGTTGAGCTAGGAAACTTCCATTTTGAGTTTGAAGCTCTTTTAGATCTATTCACAATTTTCTCTATGTTTGACACCGAAATAATGAAAACCCTTATGATTTTTTCGTTACTCACAGGGACAGAACAACGAAGATGATGCACTAAAACTTTCTCACTCAAAGTAATTTGTATAATCGTTCAATACCTAAAATATTTTATAATTTTGGTAATCCTGTGTTGATCTACTAAAGAAATAATGCAGGATTAGTGTTGATCTACTAAAGAAATAATGCAGGATTATCGCACCTCAATTGAAGAACATTGAAGATCCCCATAATTGCATCATACAAAAGTTACCCTTTTTCTAAATCTTATCTCAGCATGAGGAAATGCTTGGTGAGAGTCTAACTTAAGACCTTCCAAAAACTCCTCATTATATTTCAATCTCGTTTACAAACTGATTATGAGGTAATTGTATATTTCTTTCCTATCTTTATTATGATAGTAATTGTTCGGTTTTTCGATGTGTTTCTGAATTAGTGTTATAGAACATTTAACAGCTAAGTGATTCCCTGAATCTACCGAAGCAGAAAAGTGAAAAACTTCTTATTCAGGTATGCTTAATCTTGTTTTGTTTGTTCCTTGAAAACAAAAATTGTATTTGTGTGTGACTTTTGAGGGTCTGTAATGGACAACAATATCCTTTGTGGGAACCTTCCCATTGCATCTCATTTGTGAATTTTTAATACAAGTCTTATATCTTTAATTTTCTTTCTTATGTGAGTGGAAGTATTATAAAGAACAAAATTTTGTTCTATAACATTATATTTGAGTATGCATTGTTGCTCACAACTTATGTTCATGGTTAATGAATGCATAACATTTTTTTTAATTTTGAAACCTGATATGCAGAAGTTTGTGTATTAGAAATAACATACAACTGTATATTGAATATGATGGTATTTAATAAAAAAAATGGAATGTGAGAGTTGAATTATTGGCTACTGTATCTATTATTATAGCACATACATTAATACTTTTTTCTGCTGCTAATAATATACTAGGAAGTTTTATGGAATGTTGTTAGTACGAAAAGTTTCTTTATACTAGGATCGGATTTTTAGCGTCTTATGATCTGCAGTGGGACTCTTTTTGTAGTACAAACCAGCTCCATATTCTAAATCTTCAAATATGTATTTCCATTTGAATGTCATCTTGGCTGGAAATGATTTAATTGATGGCCTAAGATAGAATGAATTGTCAGGCGGAGGCTAGTTATAGTGCAATTGGAAATCAAAGTGCGTACTGTCAAATATCACAAAAGAAATGGAACTATGTACTACAAAAGCTTATTACCTTATAGTTAGGTCGAGGAAGGTCAATGGAAATGTATAGTATCACAGCATGATAAAATGTCCAAACAATCCAAAAAGCAAAGGAATTCCAACCCGAAAAATCATCTGGTGTTTATTAGTTTTCTTCAATAATACGCAACACAACATTAACACATCTAGAAATGTTAGAATTGTGAAATATTCATAATGAAGTTACTTGTACTGATATTTTGGATGATAGAGTTCTAGGTCTTTCGCAATTGTGAGGTTCGCAGGTTATGATACTCAAACGTAGTAACTAGATGGAATTTCATGGAAGTTCACTGCTAGTTATGTTTAATAGTAGTTTTTTGTGAAACGTAATAGTAATTCTCAAGATCCTAAAAACAGAGATATAAAATAATTTATGTTCTTTCTAACTCCAATGCATAAGATGGTGACTGTTGCATTAGACTTTAAATCTAGAACTCCTATTCAAGCCATTAGAAGTATTATTTACACTTGAAATTGTATTCCGTAATCACAGTCGGCTAAATTTTGCCTTTAAAACTAGCTGGATGAATCTTTCTTTTCATCAATTTAAATAGTGTGCTAAAATAACATCTGTGCAGATGCCCCCGAAGATACACATTCATAAGGATATGATATTTACAGTAGTAGAAAAGGAGAAATTCTTTGCTCCTTGGTGGGTGTGCAGATAATGTTTAATGTAACAGTGAAGAAGTTGATGAGTTTTCATCCATGTGAGTGGACAAAATCTAATGAAAGACTATATGCTTGTTATTGAAGGTTTCTTCTGCATTCCTTTGCCTATTTTCTCATTCACTTATCGCAAGGACATTCAAGTATATATAATAGTTTATTACAATTCAATTAATTAGCTTTACTTGTTCGTTTTCTGAGATAAAGTTTTTGCTTTTAGATTTCTTAGAAGGTTAAAGACTATATTTTAGTTTTTGAGTGAGTTTATTGTAACTTCTACTAGTTAAGTAGCTTTTTCTGTTGTTCCAATAAAGGTATTTAGATTTTTATGCTTGTGCTTTGTTTTGTTTCTCCAATGGGGAAGCTTCCTTCCCAGGATAGTTTGGCCCTACTTATAAACCGTAGTCATGAAGCCAGATGCATGTCCCCCCCACCCCCCCCTCTCTCTCTCTCTATATATATATATATATATATATATATTGATTTTGATTGGTTGTCTTACAGTGAATACTCTTTAATTATGCACTTCCAGAGGATTTGTTGTTATGAATTGGTTTATCTTACTGAGAATTTATGCATATTAAATACATGTTTTATGTCAATAACTTATAATTTTATTTTGAATGTGCAAGAAAATAACGATAATTAAGTTTAAATTGTGGCCAGAAGTAAACTCAATCTATAGTAATGAACGATGAAGAATTTTAGTACAAACATATCGTATATGATTGAATGCATTTAGCTTTGTGGAATTAATTGATACTATAGAATGATTAACAGCGGTTTTTGTAAAATTTATTTCATTTTGTACTATTGTTATAAACAATGAAGAGTTTTGTACAAGATATGTTTCTAAAAGTTTATTCGAATTATATAGCTTTGATTTAATTACTAGTTAAATTTTTTCTTTGGGTAACTTGTATATTTAAATATGTTATTATTGAATATAACGAAATAAAAATTGTTATTTTTTAAGATAAAAATTGGGGCTACAATATTCCACACAACATTGTCACACATAAAAATTGTTGTCGTAGGACTCCTAAGAAAAGTTACACTTTATAAGTGTTGCTTTTAGATGAAACATAAAATGCAACACTTTTTAAGCGTGATAAGTAAAAAAGAAAAAGCTACACTTTTGAGTGTAGTATAATTAAACAAAGGTGTTGTTAATGAATTACTCCAAAGCGTGCCCTTATACCGCTTAGGCCACGCTTTATAAGTGAAGTTGTGGTAGCGACATTTAAAACGAGTTGCCTAATGTCAAATGTTACGCTTCTTTAGGCCACCCCCTAAACAACATTGTTTAATTTCCAAAAGTTTATCCTTTTATCAATGGCCACACTTTTTGCTACTTTAGGCTACACTTTACGGGTGTTGCCGTAGGCCTAAAATAGTGTAGTGTGTGATGAATGTGGCCTTGTTCGAATTACTTCATAAATAGTGATATTATCATGTTATGACTTGAATATGATCAATGTGAAGGATTAGTCTATGTTTATACATGATATTGGACTATGAACTTCCCTAGTTGACTATATGTGATCATGATAGACTATATGAGATATGAAGATGATGTGTGTGTCTTGTTGAGTAGAATATATTCTTCTACTTGATGCATGTTACGTTAATTAATATGAACATCTTGACTTAGTAGGCTTATGCACCTTTATCTTGTATGTGTATGAATGAATGTTGAATTAAAGTCTAGGATCGATAGACCTTAGATGGTGCCCTTCTAATCATGACATATATGTGGAACCTTCTATAAAGAAAGAAGGATAATAATGAGATATGCTTATTGACCATTGAGTTGAAGACCTAGTGGATCCATCATTATTAGGTGCATTTTAACTAGATAATTACTAAGAGATGGTACCTTTATGTGACTGAACTACTCTATAAGAACAAAGTCTAGTATCTAGTGAATATGCTATGTGTAGTAGCTCTCCTTGAGAAGGAGACTAGAATACAAAGAAGCCCTTGATATTTCTTAACCGTGTGCCTACATTGGATGTGTCCTAGTTCTACCCTTGTATAGTAGAACACCCTCCATCTCAGTAGGGTAGATTCCAGATTCCATGCATAGCTAGGATGGTCTATGTCGGTTAATGCCTATTCTGCTCATGGGGGATACATCTTAGTGTTTGATAAGTAATACAAGGTTTAGGTAGTTGAATGAGACGCTATCTAGACATGACACGAGTAGGTTTTGATGATGCTAACATGTAGGTTCCTTTGGTCTTTCAAGGACCATAATGTGAAACTTCCTATAATGCTTAAATTAATATTAAATTACTTAGTGAATGATTATGTCTTAATTTAATATAATTTAAAGAAGATGATCCCTTTCTAGGGTAGATTTAAGGGTTGCTTAGGTAGACTTGAAGAGTGTATGGGCTGTCTCTTCATGTTTTACTCAAGTGAATGTTAGAGTAATCGTAGCTGGTAAGTATATGTTAAAAATAAAATAATATTATCTTAGGTAGTCTTAATGGTTATTTAAGTTTGCGTGAAGATGGTGTATGGGCGGTCTATTTTTGTCTTAGTTAAGTAAATCTTTGGATAACCTTTTGTAAGAGAGGCATATGCCATATGGTTGAAGGTGTTGTTAAAGCTATATGCTTAACTACTTGGATATGAATTATATGTAAAGTTGGTGTTAAATGTGGTTCTTATGCTTATGTTATAAATATTTCTCAAAAGAGCATGTTTCATGCAAATGTCCTTTCAGCATGATTTTATTGCATATCACTTACTTAGTACATATAATGTGCTAATTCCATATGTTGTTTACTTCTTAAGGTGTAGGTGACGTTTGAGAAGAGTTGGTTTAGATGAAGATTAGATACTAGCACACATTCAGGCAATGTCATGGGTCTTCAATTGATCCGACGACATCAATAAGTATAGCTTATCAAGTAAAGAAATTCTAATAGACTTTTTTAATTCGTATTCGATTGTTCTATGGGATGTCAACCAAAGATGATGATGTGTCTATGTTGGCTACTTTGAGACTTATCGTTTCTATCGTTTTCTATAAATGAGATTTTTATATATGTTGTAAATTTTTCTAGTTCTGCACTACTTTACATATATGTTATGCAATGAATAATGTCTAAGGGCTTCTATAAAATCTCCGGAAGGTCAAGTATACCGTATCACGATTCGAGAATGCCCTAACTTCTAGAGTGTACTATTGGGTAGAAACAAATGTCTACACTATGCACGAAAAGTATATGTCCACAAAGCATGTAATCTATGTTAACTCAAATGACTTTATAGGTGTACTAGTGTAGTTAATGGTATGAGACTTTACCTATACATTTGACATGTTTACCTTGATAGAATAGTTCCTAGGGTGGTATCTCTATTTACATGATATAAATGCATAATTAAGTTATGAACATGAAAAGATATGATATGATAGAAGTATGAATAGGTGTAGTATCCAAATGTGTTTATGTGAATGGTATTCTCATGTATGTACACATACACTCACATGAATGCATATAATGAAGCATAAATGATAATCTAGTAAAGAGGGAGTCTCTTCAAAGGTATTCTCAATTGTACTCTAAACTAGATATTGCTTGAATATGCCATGTCCATGCGTAAGGTTTTCTCATATGATTTAGGTTGATGAAAGGACATTCTCCTCTATAACCTATGAGTTAAGCATATAAGGAGTTAAACCTCCTAAAGTCGTTTTTATGAAGTAAAGTTACTCAAGACTTTTTAAGAAAGGGAAGTTAGCTTACCATTGAATGAACTTGATGAGTATGGGTGGACTTTCCTAATCTGCGAAAGCTTGTTTACTATAGTCCTCACGAGCTGGATAACTACCATGCCCAAAAGTCATAAAGATTAATTGCATATATACCTTCAAGTTTCGATAACTATGTTACCCCATATAATTTAGCAAGTGATATCACCTACTATTCTAGCATGATACTCATGTCATACCTTGGCAAGTAAAATACCCTCTTTTGGTGTAAGGAGATGATACCAAATTCCATGTTTTGCTTACATGGTCTGATTGTTGGTTAAAGATAGGATTTACCTAAAGTAAAATGGAAAATGGAAGTAAATTAATGGACCTTAACTAGGATAGCATGAGAAAAGTTGATAAGTGTAGGTGAGGATATGAGACTTTACCTATGCACTGCATAAGTAGCTAATGAAGGGAGTTCTAGTAAGGTGTTCTATATGTATATGTATATGTATTATATGCATGATATTATGGTATCGACCTAATTGTATGATAATATGCATGGTATGACTCTCATGTTGTATGTATTATGATGTCTCACTTTATTGCATAATGTTTATCTTGTTGACTATATGATGAGGTCTTACATGATATGCATGTAGTTGACTATACATTTAAATGTTAATGTATGAAGTAAGTGATATGTTCATGTTCTCCTTGTGAGTTTACTAAGTATGTATGAGGTTATGGGATGTTACATGTACATTGCACTAGTATGATTAGATTTGGATTATGAGTAAGGTCTTGTGATGTCTATATGAAATGAATCCCCAGAATGCTATTGTTTGCTATTTCCTATTATGATGTTATAGATAGTGTTGATTTGCATGTGGCCTTGAAGTGAGTCTTATATGTTGTTCATTGAACATGTCTGTTTATATGTGAAGTAAGTGTCTTAGGATATGTTATATTCTTATGAATGTCTGTGTTTAAGTAAATGAAGGTTATGTGAATGTTCACCTTGGTGATCTTATGGTGATGCTTGAGTGTGCATGGTGTAATGGTACACTATTAATGTTACTTGGGGGATTAAAAGTTTAAGGTAAATGAAAGGTAATTTTATGAAATGTTAAATGAGCTATAAATGAATAATAGGGTTTATGTTATGTCATGAATAGTATCCATGACTATGTGAAGTGTATGAGTTATGTTTTGCTTATTCTATCAAAGATTTATGAAGTTTTAAAAATATGCTTGATGAATGATTTTCCGACTAGATTTCCTATGTCAAGTTTATATTCAATGTATTGTAATATCTTAAATATTATGTTATGATGCTAAAGGGTCGTGCCCCTATTCAATTCTATTGATGTTGAGTCGAAGATGGAATAAGAGACATAGGGTCCAATTATGTATTATGACTTATTTTATATATAGATGAAGTGATGATTCTAGCATATGATGTCCTATCAAAGTTTTAAATTTTCTGCTTAATTTAGTATGCCAATGCGATGAATGGTTATTATGGGCTTGTATAAAATCTACGAGAGGTCAAGTATGTCATGTTACTTCTAGGGGGTGCTCCACAGTCGTGACATAACCCATATTTCTATGGTTTCTACAATTTTGTAGGTTCCGGTCATTGAGTTCATAGAAGGCCAATTGAAGAAGACTTGGAATCTTTTCTCCGAGTGTTGGTATGTCTCATGTTCGGGGATGTTAACTTTTTCTACGCTCAAGCTTCAAAGTTCTATTGAAATAAAGACATTATTCATTACTTTATCATTTGAATATTTATTTAAGCCTATAACGACATGTTTACTTTGTATTGGGTATGTCCAACATTTCTACTCGTCTTAGATGGTTCAATGTTAAACAAAGATTAGAATAATTCTTATGTATCGATTATGTTTTCTAAACGAGAAGCCTATGTAATCTTCTTATGTGATGAGTCTATGTAAACTCCATATGCAGTATGCGAGAGGTCTACATAAACCTCACTTTATAGATATATCTGAAAAGTTTTAATTGTTTTGCATTTTTAACCTACCATATGTTACGACGAATGCTAAGAGGCTAGTCTTAGTCCTCTCGAAGAACGACGATGCTGGTAAAGTCTAGGAGGGTGCTCCCCAATTGCGAAACATATAATATCATAGGGTCATAACCCTTACATCAATATGAAAAGAAACAATAGTCCATAACAAAGTCTTTTAGAAAGTGGAACTAAAACATACGACATGTCCTTGAACATATGAGGACATACTAATCTTAAGAGAATGCTGCTACCCAATATTCAGCTTCTAAGACAATCATCACTTTCCACCTACACTTGTAAAAATAGAAAAACATATGAAATTAGAACATTGAATGCACTAAGTATGGTGAACATGCAAGAAAACCATGCAAAAATGGACATTTACTTAGGATATGATTTTCATGCTATTTTTGTAGAAACCTCATAAAACAAGTATAACAAACATTTTGAAGTCAATATTCACATATAAGACATACTTGAACCATCACTTAGAATCCATAAAAGCATTATACCCCTACCAAAGGTTATCCTAAGATACACCCAAGTAATATATGAAGTGGACGCCCATTGAACCACTTCACACACACCTAGGTGATCCTCAAAACAACCCAAAGTAAGAATATTATAATTACATAACACTAAGCTTTATTTTTTACAAGTAATATTGCATGAAACTATTTGAAACTACTTTTTATGTTATAATTGATGTTAATTGAATGATTTTAGATCAAATTCCTTAATAACCCAAGGAAATTATGAAATCCTTACTTCGACTATATTATAGGTTATTTGATCATGTCTCTATACTATTGAACTCATGTGTAGTTTACTCTGGGCTATACAATTATAGAAGAATATGTCATAATTATGTGTAGGATATCTTAGATTGATAAATTCATATTGTTTTACTTTAGATTCATTGTATATTTAGATTATTAGATTGATTTGGTGATCAAGGCTATGGGTAAGAGCCTTTGAGTAATGAGTTGGTTGAATTAGCTATGAATTGAAGTAGTGAGATTGAATTTGTGGTATGTTTACCCAATCCTTAATATATTGTGTAGTATATGAGTTTAAATTGTGATGATTTATATGGTCCACTTGTGGTGGTGGTGCTTAAATTGTATACTCGTGAATTATGTGGCGTCATCGGCAATACTTTGTGAATTGTGAGACAATGTCACCTCATCAGCATTACTTGATGTATAATGATATTATAATGTTATATTCTTGATGAATTATGTGTATATCTGAAATCAAAATATGAGTTACTCTTAATTGAAGATATATGTTTATGTTAGGCTATGGTGATGTCTTGTGTGTATATACTTAATGTTGAAGTGTGAATCTTCCAAGTTGAATTTATAATCATTAGGATGAGTTATGTTGATGAATATATAGGAGTATGTAGGGTAACTTGAAATCATACTAGTTGTCCCTATGTAATTCTTGAATAACATGTTATATGTGAGAATGGAAAGTATATGTGTCTTGTTTTGGTAGACTTGTGTCCCTTACCTGATACATGACGAATATGAGTATGAACGTTTGAATTAGTCGGTTAGAATACCCTTTGTCATGAATTAATATGTTTGAATGAAACATGATCTTAAATATAGTAAAGAAGGTCATTATGTGGAACTTTTTGGAAAAAAAGGTTATGATATCCTTGATGTTGAAAGCCGTAATGGTATCCTTCTTGTGAGAATGGTGGATTTATTGTTGGTTTGCTTGAACGGCATGAAACCATCCTTAGGAATGCCATTGAGCTATCCTCTTTGCCATTTTAGGCAGCCCTAGTGGACCTCTTTTTTGGGGTGCGTTATGATTGGGTTATGAACAAGATATGGAACCTATTCATACACTCTTTTAATGAATTATTGTATGAGAACAAAGTCTAGAACCGAATGAGTATGCTTAGGTAGTAGATCTCATTAATTTGGAGCCTAGAGTACAAAGAAGCCCTTTCATATTCCTTAACCATGTGCCTACATGAGATGTGTCCTAGTTCTACCATTGGTAAGTAGAACACCCTCCATCAAAATAGGTTCATGACTCAGGATTCCATACATAACTAGTATTGCATATGTTTTTTATGGACTATTCTCATCATGTGGGGTACATGCAAGTGTTGGGTAAGTACTATGATGTTTAGGTAGTGGAATGTGATTTTATCTAGACATTGCACACACTAGGCTTTGAAGATATTAGTGGGTAATCACCCTAGGTATTTTATAAGAACATTATGTCAATGTTCTTGAGTGTTGAATATCTGTTAAATTGTCTAATCAT